AACATTAGATGGTCTTCTGTCAATCTGTTCGACTATATTGTCTAAGAATAGTGTAATGGACTAAAACAACAGATACCATTAAATTTTACAGAACATTCTGGATCTTTTCATTATAAAAAAAACAAACTGTCGAAGTTGTAGGACTGTAAAAGTTCCTCTTACGTTGATTTAACGCTAACTATTCTTTTAGTTACCGTTAAAGTAACGATAACTGTCTTTTCAGTTAACATTAAACCAACGGTAACTGAAAAGACAGTTACCGTTACTTTAACGATAACTGCAACGGTAACTATCAGTTAGTTAACATTATGGTAACTATTTTTCAAGTATGCCAGAAATATCCTTGCAGCGGCTTAAAATGGCTTCCAAAATCGTTAGTTTTCCACTAAAACTGTTGAAACTTTCATAAATGACATGGTTCTGTATGCAATAGTCTAATTTCGTTTATCAAAACAAAACAGATTTTTCAAGCTGGCTGTAGATGCTGAGGTTTCCAGCGGCCTCCATAAAAACCACAATTACAAAACATTGAAGTTATATAATTTCGATTAGTTTAGTTCATTGGCACGTGCGTACCAATCAAAACCAAAAAAGTCATTTATGAAGGCTTCAACAGTTTTAGTGGAAAACTAACAATTTTGAAAGCCATTATTGTGAGCCTATCGGAGGGGCGAATCTATGGAAGCCTTAAAAATTCAATAACTCGGAATAGAATGCTGAAACTGAAACTGAAACTTTTTGTGGATATCACAAATATATAGAAGAGTCATAGAAAAATTATTGAGCTCTTAACTACTTTTATTGGCAGAATTATTCATATTTTAATTTTTCTGTGTTTCCGTAGTAAAAAAATAGAAAAACCGCTATAACTTTTGAACAAAACACTATGGGCCGAAATCCTTTTACGGTTTTTACTAGCTCGATATCCTCTAGGGATTGAGATATAAATCATTGAAAACAGAGCATCTCGATAGATTCCCTCGTTAGCGTACCTGATTATTTTCATGAACTTAATTTTCAAAATATGATTCTAAGAAATTCAGAATAAGGAGAAACAAACAGTTACCATAAAGTTAACTAACTGATAGACACCGTTTTTTTAACAGTAACTGAAAACGCAGTTATCGTTAAAGTAACGATAACTGTCTTTTCAGTTACCGTTGGTTTAACGCTAACTGAAAAGACAGTTATCGTTACTTTAACGGCCCGCAACTGTTTTTCGAGTTACCATTATCGATAACGGCCGAAGAAGTAACGGGAACTTTTACAGTTCTAGTCGAAGTAATTAAAGCGCATGGTTAAGCTGATTATCCGAGATCACTTATTACGAATTACATATGGTTTTGTGACATATCTATTAAACTTCATGTTTTCTTCATAGTGCCGTGCCACTCAATAAAACTATGCTGAAATATGAAAAGTAACCTAATTCAATGAATTAATAAATTTTACATCCTCTGCTATTTAAACTCATGATGTTAAGTTCAGAATTTATAGAAAAGTATTAAAAATATTGTAATTCTTAGATGGTGCTGTACGCAGCTTTATGCGTAGTTTCTGGCTAGGAAAGAATGATAAAACTTTGTAGAACTTGTAAATGCACATCTTTTGATGAGAGACTGATGATAAACTAGATTGCAACTGTGCTTTGCACAAGTTGTAATGTCGACAGACGTTGTATATACTGAGCAAAAAACACAAAAGCTAAATCTATAAAATACTGTGCACTCGGAGAACAGATATAGTAAATACCGATTCACTCCGTGCACTGAGCAATACGCAAACTCTTCAATACAATAGACGGCAGTGTACAGGTACTAGAATAAAATCTGTCTTAGATGTAGATCTAGAAGAAAGAAAATATTAAATCTTCGCATAAATAAGGCTAAGCTATTGTTTCTTCTTTCATCAAATATCTAAAAGAGATATCTAATAAATTTATGGTAGTGAATTTATCTTTCTTCTGCTTTTTTTTCCCTAATATTTCTAACAATTTCAATTATCAATAATTGTATGTTTTCGTCTGTATTTCTTCTTATTCTGACCAACGAACCTTCTTTTCTCTCTCTCACTAACGAAAATTCTTTTCTCAACAAAGAAATAAACAATTTATTTTGTTTTGAAAGTTCTCATTAAAAACATGGCGCCGGCAACAAAATGTATGAAAACCTTCTGCGTCTAAAATACATTCTCTGTTAACTTCTTGTATCTTAGGATGCAGAATGTAGACTACTGCTCGAAAAATGAACAAGCATTGGTTAATCTCGAGTATATCAAGAACAGTATCCAGTTTTCAGAACTTTTCTAAGTAGCGTAGTTCTCTAGATCATGAGGCGTACATTTCATAAAAAACAACGACCAAAGAAAAAAGCATTTTTCACATCAAAAACATATAATGTCTGTCGACATAATAAAAAAGTGAATTAAATAATCAACAACGCTTTGTGAAAAATTAAAGACTAACTGGGCATGTTGATATCGTGAATTTTAAGTTTTTTTTTAAATTTTTACTCTTTCAGTGATTTATTTACAAATTTATTTAATTATTTGTAACAGTTTCGATTTCGATGAAGTCTTCATCAGACAAGGTTGTATATGCGACAAAAACGGCATTATATATATATCTAATACATCATTATGTATCATATGTTTTATTTCTTTTTCTTTTGTTCTCATTCGTTGATCTATTACTAATAGATAGTGGATCGAACAAGATAAGATAATACTGGATGAATGACCTACAAGTCTTCTTCTTAATGTAACATTGTTAGAAATATGACAACAAGAATAATCCAAATAACAAAGAATCCTGATGAACAACAACACGATTAAGAAAAATATTGATCAATTCCAGATATTTACCAAATAATATTGAACAATATATCAATGCAGCATCACTTATTATGACAACAACAAAAGAACAATGTGCATAATTAATTTAAATATTCTTCATCTTTATCTTATGTTCCAGAAATCGAAGTGTTGAAAAGAAAATTGGAAAAAATTAAAAATTAAACTAATACCCTCTTCATTCAATTCATTACTCAAAAATAAAACAAAATCAATAATATATCAAATAACCGTGTGATTGTGGAAATGTTTATAATGGAGAAACAAAAATTTGATTTAAAAATCGAATAAAACAGCATGATAAGATTATCGAAAAAGACGAAAGATACATCAAGTTTAGACATAGTTCAATATTATCATGAAATGAGATATCAATATATATTTGATTCAACGAAAGCATTTCATCATTAATAATGAAATTAACCCTACAAAAAGAAAAATTAAAGAATCGATTTATTCAACCAATAAACAATTCAATCAATCGTCGATATGATACCACTAAAACTGATCATACTGATCATTCATTCAATTATAACCAAAATCAAGAATAATATTGAATTAAAATGTCGAACATTCGATTATACTGGATATTAAAGACAAGACAATGATAGTGGATCGGAAGAAGACTTATAGGTCATTCATCCTACTCTACGGTCAGATTGGAGATCCGACCGAGTGAAACGTTTCTTAGAAACACTTTAGACACTGTTTGAATCCCTTAAATACGGTTAGAATACTGTAGTGCTCAAGCAGTAAATATATTGATACATTCTATCGGTAATAATGATTCAGACTATAAATACACCACAGAATATAGACTGATAAGTAGCACGTGATTACTTAATGAGTCACTATACCTTATTCATTCTGAATGTATCTGAAGTGTCATGTGATAATTAATTATTTCATAAAAAAGTTATTGAAAAACTTTCGAGACTCATTGCTTAATAATTAAAACATATATCGAAAAACTAACTTCAAATGTGTCATTTACAGCGTTTGCACTCGCGAATGACGTTTTTTTCAAATCTGTACGATAAGAGTTAGCTGAGAAAGAGTGGCTGACTAAAAGAAAAAAGTATTCTTCATACACATTTAAATCACTGTCCATGTTCATCTTTAGGATAGTCTTCCTGCCACTACAAGCATCAGTAGCTAGAGATGTTACGAACCCGAACGTTCAACGTTCGAGTTTGTTCTTAAAAAGCTCGGGTTCGAGTTCGAGTTCGACTTCGAACATGTTCGAAGCTTCGAGTTCGAGTACGACATCAAATATTTAATAAAGCAAAATAGATAATCAGACAATTATTATATACTCTTCTAAACACGAGTTTTGCGCATATTGGTATTTTCCTATCACTTTCGCACTTTTACTCGAAAAACAGTTTTTGCTACAAACAAAAGCGTGAATAACATAGATTTCTTTTGTTCTGATATGTATGTATTAAGAACACGTGTACACAAAAGATGTGTCACAATTGTTAAAAAAGACAGTACATTTGTGTTTAAAAGAACGAAAAAAAATTCTCAAACTAGACTTGATATCGGCGAGACCAAGGTTTTTCAGTCCCGTTCCGATCCCGGAAAATTTTTAAGGTGCCGGGGAAAATACTTTATTAATAAAGTTTGCATGACGTAGATGTGAAGTTCAATGTCTAGGAAAGAATTGTAAGACTTCCTGACGATTTTCCACAACGTTCCTATTTTAGTATAGAGGAACAGGTCAAGTTTTAGCTGATTTTATGCAACTGTCGAAACACATCTTAGTTCTAGTGTTGATCCCGGAAAAAAAAGTTGTAGCACCGGTCCAGGTAAAAAACTTTTTGGTCCCGACCATGCCTAAACTGGACGACTGCTCTATGAGGGAGAAATAAATGTTTGATATAAGACTGTTATATGTGATAGACCGAAGATGTAGAATATCTTAAAAGGTTAAATATTATGATCATATAGACTAATCAGATTGTTTTGAAAATGATCCACTGTGGCAGGTTGCAGCCTGTGTGAGACACTGATTCCTAGAGGCAACACTCATTCATTAAGCACCATGAAACTAGGGGCAGAAGGTAAGAAATTATATCTACTCAAGGCTTGCAGTATCAAAAAAGCTTCAGGCATGTTCTACGAGCCATGTCTAGCCAATCTTGCTGCTAAATTTGCGTTAACATTAATTTAAAGTCGAACACTTCGACATCGAACTGTTCGAAGCCGAACTTCGAACGTAGGTTCGGGTTCATAACATCCCTATCAGTAGCGCTAAAAAGCAATTTAAGATATTCTCCATAACTGATTTTAAGACAGAATCCATACCAGCCTAAGACACGCTTCATATAGTTTAAGATAATTTACATAGTACTTTTAGACAATATCCATAGTTAATTTAAGTCTCCATGGAGGAGTGAGTGCTTCTGATGGAACCGCCAAGGATTCAAGTATAAAACTGTTACTCCTCTAGCCTTCGGATTAGTTGGAGAAGTTACATAATAAAAGTTTAAAAAACTGTTTCAATTAGAGAAATTTAGCTTCTAAAAAGTGATTAGTTATTTCTCGTCTACCTAATATCAATATTTCTACACATACCAGATGTTACATCATGATCGATATAATGCCATTTATCATTTTCTAAAGCAAACACTTTTATTGTTGCATTGAAAATCGGTTGATTTTGTTCATCTGTAATTAAACCTTTGATACCCAAATGAGTCTAAATAAGAAAAAGAAAGGAGGATATTATTCGATTATAAATGATTCACTTTTATATACCTGCCACATAAAATTGATTAAGGCATTTTTATTGTCTTCCCATAGTGCTGCAAGGAGTTTTCCAGGTGGAAACTTACGACAACCAAGTTCAAGTGTTATTTCAAAACAATTGCTTGCCAAATAGTTAAAATCTTGCATACCTAAAAAATGAAAAATAATCAAAGATAAGAAAAGAAAACAAAAAATCAAAGAATATTTTACCTCCGCATACGGGATACCATGCGGCTCCATTCGTAATTCCATCTTTAAACAATTCATCGGCACACGGTTTAGCTGATGTTGACATCGTTTTATGAGAAAAAGAGTAGGATTCAGCCAACTGTCTAAAAATCATAAATGATTAAGTTTAACAAGATGGAAAGCAAATATTTAGTGGAAATGTTGATATATTACAAAGATATATCTACCTCAAACAAGGAATAAGGATTAAAATGTTGCTATTTATACTGTTTGGTCACATAATTCTACTATCAGAGTGAAATGGTTTTTCTTCTTCTATATCGTTCAACTAGAAATCATTTGTTTTTAATTTTTTTGTTCGACAGAATAGATTCGAAAAGTGATTTCAATAGTTGGAAAATTTTTTAGTTAACATCTCCAAACTCTTTATAACATTCTATCGTTAAATAACTTGAGCATTCATTTTTCGATCCCAGAGCTATTTTTTTTTCTACTTTCGATGGACTAGGACATGTTATAAAAAAAAATGAATGCAATTTAACGAAAGAATGTCGTAAAGAACTCGAATACATGTGACTGGATCCATGAAAAGTTACTTCATACGACTGAGGGCTGTGCAAAACATTTTTGGATTGAGTTGATTATGATATCCATAGAGCTCTCCAACGTCTTAATATTTAGGACAAATTCTAGTAAATATTCTGACTTGTTTCCGTACTCTCCACAATCTTCAAATTTGTAGAAATAAAAACTAAATTGAAAAATGTCTTTCCGCATTCTTGATATGTGTCGCCCTAACAATAATTCAGCAGTTCATTATAAAACTCAAGACGTTGACGAGGTATGTGTGTATCTCTTGCCGAGATAAATAGTGAGTAAAAAATCTGGTTTCGATAGTAGAATTACGTATGTATTATAATTAGTAGGCCTCTAGCATTCAGATAGAGATATATCTCGATTGATATTTGCTTCACATTTGTCGAATTCTACAGAAAAGAGAAAAGAGCAGCAGCAAAAGTATTTTGTGTAATCAATCACTCAAAGCTCACTCATTTTTGGACTAAATTAAATAATTCTTTGAGCATTAGCTGCGCAAGGCTTTTTTCTACTCACAAATGTGAAAAAGTAAGACTTCCACAGTGGTACTCTATAAAGGATCAGCGGCGTCTATCCCCACCTGAATATTTGAAGCATTTTGTACCACCTCGCAAGTTCGATTTCTCAGTGTATCACCTAAAAAATGAATTTATACAGCAAAAAAGTGTACCGCCTTACTTTTGTTTGAGGCATTGTGCCTCAAATGTCCAACAGGATAGATGCTCCTGCAAAGGACTCGATTAAAGTCAACATGCATGGTGTTTGAACGGAAAAATAAACATGTTGACTTTAATCGAGTCCTTTGTAGAGTTCTACTGTGAAAGTCTTATACTTTTTCACATTTCTGAGTAGAAAAGAGTCTTGTGCAGCTGATGCTCAAAGAATTATTTAATTTAGTCAAAAAATGAGTGAGCTTTGAGTAATTGATTACACAAAATACTTGTGCTGCTGATCTCTTCGTTCTCTTTTCTTTAGGGAGACAGAATTCGACAAATGTAAAACAAATATCAATAGAAATATATCTCTGTCTGAATGCTGGAGGCCTAATGAATAATGCAGCCGAATATGAGTTTCATAATTATGATATATTAATCTTTACATATGCAGTGATACATTAAGATTTAATCTTTTTTTTTATTATTACTAATCAACTGTATGCTTCTGCTAGCTTGCAAGAGAATGGTGAGTGATGTAAACGTACTGAAATAATGGATCATCTGGCGATGGAGAATATGTCTGCACATGTAATTCACTATCATCATATGGATAATTGGCCACTAAATCGCCATTATGCAGATTGGCAGATAGAACAAATGGTAATTGCATGATCCAAAAAGCAACGGTAATTGTTTCAGATTGATACTGCAAAAGACAAAAACGCGAAATAGATGAATAAAAATATGTTTCTTGAAAATTTTATTTTATTTACATACTGCATTATTTCCACAATCTGTTCCTTTTGTTAAAGTTTGAAATGTTTCCATATCCAAATGGTTATTACGATGATGAGCATAATGATTATATCTATAAATGAATTCATCAAGATTCGGAAAATTACGATTTAAATCAACGTTATTTGCATTTGTACGACCGGTTAGCCAATCTGACGCTCCTTCCTCCTTTAAAAATACAAGGTAAATATTAGTGATTTTATGTATGAAAATATTCAGTGTAGTAAAAAGGTAAAAGCGTATGTATATTCATGATTAACGAGTGGATCAGATAAAACCGGTCACTATTATTCGCTGTTTTTCAGACACTTTACAAAAGTCCAAAGAGGTCTTTTTAGACTCAATCGATAGAGAATTCAATTCTCTACAAAATCTGCTATCTCTGATAGCATATTTGTGGTAAGAACACCATTCAAAATATTGCAGGATGCTGAGTTCTCGAACTGTGACACACTGAAAATAGAAAAATATTTCCCTTGATCCAGAAACAGATTCCATAAGGATTCTGAAAAAATCACAAAATTCATCGGAAAATTCTACATCTTCTCACATACTTATCGGAATTTTACAGTTAAGTCTTCTAGGAAAACTTCTCTGTGCAAAAACCTGATAAATCTAATAAAATCTAACTTTTAAACCTACTTTTCAGAGATTGTAGTATTTTTACAATAAAAGCAGTAAAACGTTCTGAATTTAGGATTTTAGTCTTATTATCTTACACAGAATTAAATTCTGCATTATTTGATATATAAACAAAGTTTCTCAATTGAAATCATTAATCAAGAAAATTAATTTAATTTGAAAAAGTTGAAAAGTCGGTTGAGAGCTAATTATACTTCCAGCTGACGTAGCGGAAACATTGAATGATGTCGTAAAGAGTGCGACCGATAGAATACAAAATTCTGTCTTTATAGTCTTTATTTACTAATGAATTTCAGACAATGGGCTAAACATTTCAATAAAGGAGACGACAAAAGCACGTCGCAGTTCGAGAACTCAACATCCTGCAATATTATGAATGGTGCTCATACGACAAAAATGCTATCAGAGATTCAAATAGCAGGTTTTGTAGAGAGTTCAATTGTCTATCGATTGAGTCTAGAAAGAACTCTTCAGACTACTATAAAGTGTCTGAAAAACAAAAAATAAAAGTGGTCGGTTTTATCTGGCCTATTCGTTAGTTCGAGCAATAACTTACTCTTAACATCGTTTTAATATCTTGATATCGTTGTTGTCCGCCAGTACCATTCCACGCGTAAGTCGTAGCCATTTCCCACCCATCAGGATTCATTGATGGCATCAAATGTATTCGTGTTGTATCGATTAATTTTCGAATATTTTGATTATTATTAAATTTATATTCATTGCATAAGTATTCGGCTAGATTTAACAATATTTCTCTTCCAACCACTTCATTACCATGCATATTTCCAACATATTTAAATTCTGGTTCTAATAGATCGTGTTTAGTCGGATTTGATGAGAAAACGATGACACGTAATGGACGATTTTGAACAGATTTTAATGGTAAATCATATAGATAAGTGATTTCAGGACATTTTTTATGTACATTTTGTAGTATAGAAAACATTTCATCCGTATTATGATGGTTATCATTATGAATAGTGAGTAATGTTTCACAAGAAATAAAATAAAAATGTATAAATAAGAGTGAAATAGTATACATTGAACCCGATAATGTCATGATAAATTGAGTAAATGACGAAAGAGAGAGAGAGAGAGAGAGAGAGAGTATTATTTATTTCGTTCAAACACTCACATCAGACATACAATAATAAAAGAGATTAAAAGGTTTAATCTGAAATAAAAACATAGAAACAAACACAATTAATAAACAAGTTATAATTTTGTTTAGAGCACTTTTTTTTCCAGTAAAAATCTCTTTTGTTATCAAAATATACTTTGTATGTTTTGACCAAAAATAAATGGTTTTGCTCTTCTGAATAAAACAGTTAAGCTAGTTAAGATTTGTGTTTTTGAAGGAAATAGTGGTATATACCATTGGCTGTAATATAAACATTCTTCTACAGAGAAATTCTAAGAATGCAATAAAACGAAATTTCATAAATACCTGTGTATTCTTCAGCCTTTTTTTACGAAAGGTTATTCAAATTTATCAAAGAGAATGACATGAAAACAGTAAGATTGGATTTTCTTTTCTTATCGCAAAGAAAGTTAACATGTGACACAAATGGAGAAATAGACAAATGATAAGATAACTGAAATTTTTTCTCATGTTTACTATATGACGTATCAAAGATTATTTTCATAGACAACATACGTTTATTCTTTTTCAACTCGAGGATGAATGTTATAGAAAACAGTTGATGTTATATCCTAATGAACAATAGAAGAAGAAAAAAAAATGTATGCTATTGTTCAAACTATACAACCTACGTTTTTATAGGAAAAAGCAATGATGCGATTCTACGTCTACATATTATTCATTTTCATACACCCACAGGTTTTTATTTCTTTCAAGAACGACAAAAAAAAAAAAGCATTTTTCTTACTACGGAAATTATAAGAATGAAATAATATATATATAACTATAAAAATAACTCATAAAAATAGTTTATTCAAACAAAAACAAAATAATAATTCACTTGATTCTCTCTCTCTTGTTCACACTTCCTGCTCATTTAAAAATTATAACAAAAAGACCGTAATTACATTTAGCATTCGATAATTATTATGACTCTTTATACTGATTAATCAGTATCAAGCCAGTAGAAGTGAAAAACAGAGTAGAAAGCGACCTAAAATCAGAAAGAGACGATCGATATTTTATGAATTTTGAGGCTAAAGATAACGATGAAGACGATGTTTGTCGAACAATCAACTACAACCATTTTGTAGAGCTCGATGAACTCTATCTATTTTGATATAAAACAGAAAAAATTTTCGAAGAGTTTTTGAGATATATGAGCTCAAACTTTTCGTTTTTTTTCCGTAAATCGGTCACTGGTCCGAAACACCGATAGCTATCTGGCTTATTCTTTCGCTCTTTTACTTAGATTTCATGCCTCTATATTTTCATCCACTGTAGTCAAAGATTCTATTTGAGTTTGAGAGGAAAATCCAAAAAGTACCTCTGAAACTTCGGACCTCCGAAAAACCATGTTCCACATGTTTTTTTGAAAAACAAGCCTAATGTTCTCGAGCTAACTTTTTATGCTCTACACGATGCACATATTGAAATCTTCGCGG